ATAGCTTTTTGAGAGCCATTTTTGTGAAGCTTGTGTTGCGTTCTTGAGCGTACTTAATTACTCATTATCCACTCTAAAAGAGAGTATTGTTCTTGAGAGTTTTTAGTGTTCTTAGACACTTGACAAGAGAAAGTATTTCTCTTGTTGTTCGAAGGAAGGGTTGTTTCCTCCGAAGGTTTGTTGAGGTTCGTGTGACTCGAACTCTCAAGTTGTACGGGTTTGTTAAGCACCGTTAAGCTTAACGAGATAGTAGTGTAGCTCGAGAGAGTCTCTCGGGAGGCTGGATTAGCCACAAGTTGTGGTGAACCAGGGTAAAATCGGTGTGCCTCTTACTCTTCTCTTTACTCCCCGTTTATTCATTTTTATTCCTGCGATTTTTGATCAAACGCTATTCACCCCCCTCTAGCGTTGGTCTTTTATTCTAACATCAGGTGCATGGTCGAAGGGAATATCATTAAATCCGGAAGACTACATAAGAACCGGATGTCTCGCTACAACCCGCTGAAGGCTAAGTCGGAAGACTGGCGCGGATTTCTTTCTCACCCGGAAGACTGAGAACGACTTCTCCGAATTTGTCAGCCAAGAACCGGATGCCTCAAGAAATACCGGAATTCTCAGAAAGCAGACAAGTGAGAAAAGACTTAGAAAATCATCTAAGTCTTGAATGAAGAAATTCTACCCGTTGGTAAAGAAAAATCAATCTCTTGATTTTCAACGGCTAGATTGAAGATAATTATGCTGATTCAAGAACGAATGACTCAAAGACAAAGTCTGGACCTCTAAAAATTGAAGAGCCTGTCCAGAATTCCTAAACAAGCACTAGAAGACAAACAGAGTAAAGTGCTACAGTCCTGAATTCTTGAACAACAGCTAGAAGACGGATTCTGTGGAAAAAGGAATCCCTCCTCAAACAATTGGATATGTTTAAACACCCATTCCAACGAAGAATCTTCAAATCACAATCTTCATTCAAAATTGAAGCCAACAAATGCAACAGATAGTCTATTGTGATTCAACGGATAGATTATCCAATCCAGCTATAAATAGCATCCTTGGAAGACTGGAGAAAACAATGACGATGAGATACAACAACAACTAAGAGCAATCTCTAATAACAAAGCTATCTCATTCACAGTTTGTCCAAAAAGCTTGAAAAAGAGAGATTTCTAAAACTCCTTATCCAGAAGCAAACTTCTCCTCCTTCCAAAGAGCTATAGTGTAAACACTTGAAGGTTTCCTTGCCTCAAGTACCACACCACGTTGAAGGATACAACTTTTGATCAAACTTATTAATTAAAAGGGGGTAGGTCAACTTTCTTATAAGTTGGTCTTGCAAGTCCTATTGTTCGGACCTTGCAGTTGTTGAAGAAGCGTGACCTTCGAAGGAACAACAAAGCCAGCACGAGTGCAGTAGCAACATTGGCCTTGCAAAGATATACCGTGCAGAAATTCACACAAGTGTAATTGTTGGTTCATTATTCAACAACCAACTACATAGTGGATTTTGAGGACGTAGAAGGATTACCCCACCTTCGAACCTCGTTAAAGTTTGTGTGTCTCTCTCTCTTATCTTTATTCTTACTTGCAATTATATTAACTGTGAAAACTAACCCATCCATATTGATTACTGCTCACCCTACCTACCAAATTCCGCACACAATCTAAAGTTCACAAGAACTCTAGATTAACACTCATTTTCACGTTTTCAAAAGAAACGAAAAAGTTTTAAATTTGTAACAAAGTCTATTCACCCCCTCTCTAGACTTTGTATCTCACCACTTTGGGACCACCAATTGGTATCAGAGCGAACATCTCACTATCTACGTTTAGATTAACGAGAAGCGATCATAATGGTGAACAATATGGATCACGGTTTGCCCAAGTTTTCTCTTCTAGGTTATGATGATTGGAAGATCATGATGGAAGCACATCTCTATGCTCTACATGACTGCATGTGGATGGTGCTTGAGGATGGACCCTTGAAAATCCAAATGGAGAATCCTGAGAGGAATCCAGCAACTCCAGATGTAGTCCAGTACATTCCAAAGCCCAAAGAAAAATGGGATGATAGAGATTGCAAAAAGCACAATCTGGACAACGTCGCCAAAGCAGCCATCTTCAAGACACTTGATCCCATCACCTTCTCCAAGATTAAGCATCTCAAGACTGCCATGGAGATATGGCAAGGTCTTGGGAAGCTATGTGAGGGATCAGAGGACTTAGGAAAGCAGAAGATAGAGGTCCTGCTTGAGAAGTTCAAAAGCTTCAAAATGCTTCCCGGAGAATCATTTGATATGTTGGACGAAAGGTTCCACAAAATCTTAAATGATCTTGCATCACTTAACCACGTTCTTTCTCCCAAAGAAAAGAATGTAAGGTTGCTGAGATCACTTCCAACCGAGTGGTACACCAAAGCCACAGCCATGGAAGAAGGAAGAAACCTGGAAAACTACACTGTCCAAGGTCTTCTTGATGAGCTCAGAACCTATGAGCACGAGCTGAAGAAGAAGAAGGAAGAACAAGTCACTCCCTTCCCTACGGCATTGATGACAACTCCAAGAGTCCCATCAAGTGAAGGGACATGCACAAGAAACTATGACACACCTTCCTCCAGCCAGCCGTCAAGCTCAAAAATGGAGAACTACGATGAGGAATTTGCCATGATGGTCAAACAATTCCGGAAGTTCAAGAAGTTCTTCAAGAAGGCTGACTCAGTCAGAAGGCCATCCAAGGGAAAGCCACAGGTAAGTGACTCCCCTCCTGAATCTTATTTATGTTATAACTGTAGAAAGCCTGGCCACTGGAAGTCAGCATGCCCGTACCCTAAGGTGGAAAAGTACGGAGAAAGAGAAAGAAACGAGAAGAAAAAGAAGGCAATGGTTGCTGCTGAAAGTGACGAGTCATCTAGCTCAAGCTCGGATGAAGAAGCCCTCGTCTGCATGGAGCGGAGAGTTGAGAAGTCCAACCATGAGGATAGGTGGACCATGTCAGAAGATGACACTCTCTGCCTAATGGCCAAAGATGATGCTGATCAAGAGGTAACTTCACAAACCTCCTGCTCATCTTCTTATGAAAGCATACCAACTTCTGAAAATCTTTTTGACCAGTTCAAAAAGATGATGGAAGACTTTGAGGAAATAAATCTCAAACATTCATCCTTAACAGAGGAGAACAAACTATTGAGTGAAGAGAATCTTAAGTTGACTGAAGGTCGGAAAAGTCAACTGGATGAGATCACTCAACTCAAGACTGAAAATGAATCTCTCTCTGAAAAGGTGAAATCCCTTAACATAGAGCTAGGGATACTTAAGTCCAAAGAAGCAGTGGACAAGCTTCTTGAAACGACCAAACAAAAGGGTCGTGAAGGACTTGGGTTTGACCCCTCTAGTTCCAAAAGGAAAGGGAGAACAACCTTCATCCCTCCTAAACCTACTGCCAAACCAAATAAGCAGAAAGGAAAAGGAGAAACCAACAGAAGTTCCCAAAAAGGTAGTCCCTCCTAAGAACTATAGGAAGCTGGACAGACCTCAAAGAGGAAATAATTTCAGAAGAAAACCTTCTTACCCCCACTATACACGAGGCTATACTCATTATGGGGTAGATAGGAGCTTTCCAAGAAATTCTGAGTGGAGAACTATGCCAAGATATAGTCACCCTCCACCCCAGAAACTATTTGTGCTACCTAAGTATGCTTATAACCGTCACAGGTCACACTATGCACAACCTAGACAAAACTATAGGTCTTATCAACCTAGGTTTGCTAGGAGGAAACAGGAAATAGCACCTCCTGCACGTAGGAAATTCTATGCCTACAACTATGATTACAATCCCAACAAGTTTAGAGCTGCAAGGAAAATTCCCTGCAACTTCAAACTTGATGTAGGGACACACACCATTAACTACTCCGGACCCAAACTTAATTGGGTATCAAAATCCTCCTCCTCCTAATGCAGGAAGCCGCTAAGTACCAGGTGTCTGGTACTTAGACAGTGGCTGCTCAAGACACATGACGGGTGATGCGAGCCTTTTGAGCAATCTAATTCCCTATGATGGTCCAAGAGTTACTTTTGGAGGAAGCAGTGATTTTGGCCTTACTAAAGGGCTAGGAAATTTGGTGTACAAGGGACTAACCATCCAAGCTATATTTTATGTTGAAGGTCTCAATTATAACCTTCTTAGCATAAGTCAATTTTGTGATAAAGGTTACTCCTTGGAATTCTGCAAGGACATGGCATCTCTCAAGAACATCTTCACAAATGAAGTCATTCTCACTGGGAAGAGAATCAGAAACATCTATGAAGTAATGTGGGACAATGTCAAGGAAGCATGTCTAATCAGCAAAGGTGACACTAACCTTCTATGGCTTTGGCATAAGAGGTTGAGTCATCTCAACTTCAAAACTCTCAACAAGCTGTCCAAAGAAGGATTAGTAGAAGGTCTTCCCAAAGCTGTATTCAGGAAGGAAAGCATTTGTGATGCTTGCCAGAAAGGAAAGCAAGTCAAGTCTACTTTCAAGGCAAAACCGGCACCCTCAACTACAAGGATATTAAGTCTTATTCACATGGACCTATTTGGCCCTGTTACACCAATAAGTCTAAGTGGAAAGAAATATGTTCTGGTGGTAGTTGATGATTACTCAAGATACACGTGGACAATCTTCCTCAATAGAAAGAAGGAGACTCAAGGGAAACTCACCAACTGCATGAAGCTGATTCAAAACCAAGCAAGTCAGACCATTCAGAAGATCAGATCTGACAAAGGCACAGAATTCCTGAATGAAATCATCATTCACTACTGTGAAGAAAACGGAATTCTTCATCAAACACCCGCAGCAAGGACGCCTCAACAGAATGGTGTAGCTGAAAGAAGGAACAGAACCTTGAAGGAAGCAGTAAGGACGATGCTAGCTGAAGCTTCTTTACCAAAGAGGTTCTGGGCTAAAGCTGTTAACACAGCCTGCTATACTCAAAATAGGAGTATGATTTATAAAAGGCACAACAAAACTCCCTATGAACTATGGAACGGGAGAAAGCCTAATATATCATATTTCCATATTTTTGGGAGCAAGTGCTTTGTGTTAAACAATGGGAAGAATCATCTGAACACTTTTGATGAGAAATCAGATGAGGCCATCTTTCTAGGATACTCCATGGTGAGCAAGGCATTCAGAGTCCTCAACAAAAGAACCATGATCACTGAAGAGTCAATACATGTTATTTTTGATGAAAAACATGTGGTTGACAAGCCATCAAAGCATGATCATGAGGTTCTGGATCTATCAGACAAGGATGAAGAAGTTAATGAAGCAGATAGAATGAAGCCCACGGAGTTCATTCCATTCAGAAGTCTACCACTGAAGACTTCACAGAGAAATCCGGATTCAGACAATGCTGAGCCTACCAAAAATTTTGGCCAGCCTTCCAATATTTCGGATCTCTCAAATGGCGACTCAGTACCAATCCATCCGGAAACACCAACAACTTCTATTCTTCAACCAGAAGCTGAACTAGATCAGCCAGTCAATCCCAATCAAAACAATCTTCGTTGGTTAAGGGATCATCCTCCTCAACAGATCATTGGAGATATTCAATCTGGCGTTCGCACAAGGAGTGCCCAACAGAATCTAGAAGCTATGCTTGCTTGTTTCATCTCACAAGTGGAACCAAAGAATATTGAAGAAGCTCTAGCTGATTCTGATTGGATCAATGCAATGCAAGAAGAACTCAACCAATTTTCCAGAAATGACGTCTAGAAACTTGTTCCCAGACCTACTCATCAACATGTCATTGGGACAAAGTGGGTCTTCCGGAACAAGATGGACGAAAATGGCGTTGTTGTCAGAAACAAAGCCCGGTTAGTAGCAAAAGGATATTGTCAAGAAGAAGGTATAGATTTTGATGAAACCTTCGCTCCAGTTGCTAGACTTGAAGCTATAAGGCTGTTTCTAGCATTTGCTGCTCACAAGGACTTCAAAGTCTATCAAATGGATGTCAAAAGCGCATTTCTCAACGGAAACCTCGAGGAAGAAGTTTATGTGGAACAACCTCCAGGATTTGAGTTACACACTAAGGGAGATCAAGTGTATAGACTCAAAAAGGCGCTCTATGGACTCAAACAAGCACCAAGAGCTTGGTATGATACATTGTCTCAATTTCTTATAGACAATGGATTTACCAAAGGAGTCATTGACAAGACTTTGTTCAAATTACAAGATGGAGAAGATCTCCTATTAGTCCAAATCTATGTGGACGACATCATATTTGGCTCAACTAAGGAAAATCTCTGCACCAAGTTCTCAACCCTCATGCAAGGAAAATTTGAGATGAGCATGATGGGAGAACTCAACTACTTCCTTGGCCTTCAAATCAAACAGAGAAGTGAAGGGACTCTCATCAACCAAGCCAAGTACACAAGGGATCTTATTAAGAAATTCAAAGTTGATCAGAAGTCATCCGTTTCCATCCCCATGAGTACATCCACCAAGCTTGATATGGATGTAGATGGAAAGGATGTAGATCAAACTCTCTACAGAGGAATTGTTGGATCTCTACTCTACCTTACTGCAAGCCGTCCGGAAATCTCATATGCAGTGGGTGTTTGTGCCAGATTCCAGTCAAAGCCAAAGGAAAGTCATTTGATAGCAGCTAATTAAAAGAATTCTTAGATACCTCAAAGGAACTCAGAATATGGGATTGTGTTATGCTAAGAGCAATTCATTTGAGTTAGTAGGATACTCAGATTCTGACTTTGCCGGATGCAAAGTTGACCGGAAAAGTACATCTAGTACTTGTCAATTCATTGGTGGAAATCTTGTTTCTTGGTTCAGTAAGAAACAAAACTCCATTTCTACATCAACAGCAGAAGCAGAGTACATTGCTGCTGGGAGTTGTTGTGCTCAGATTTTGTGGCTAAAATAACAACTACTGGACTATGGAGTCAAGACGAAGGAAGTGACAATCTTTTGTGACAATCAAAGTGCCATAGCCATCTCACAAAATCTAGTGCATCATTCTCGCACTAAGCACATTGATGTCAAGCATCACTTCATCAGAGATCATGTGGAAAAGAAAGATATCAAAATTGAGTATATCTCAACTGAAGAACAACTGGCGGATATCTTCACAAAACCACTAAGTGAAGCCAAGTTTTCCGATTTGCTTCACAAAATTTGTCTAATTCAATTAGACTGAGTGCGGTACACGTGGCAGTTCACTTTCTACGTCTGTCAAAATATTGGGTAGGCACGTGGCCTTGGGAATAGTCAAAAACCCAATCGCCACTAGCCGCATAAATCGCCCAAATCAAACCCAATCGCCACTATTCAGATCTCAACCGCCCACTCAAAGTTTTTCGTCGTCTTCTTTGCGAGAAACTCACAAGAACCCTAAGATTTTTTTTCTTTCGGATTCTCACTCAAATTTCTGAGAAAATGAAGGTTGTCGGCGCAAATATTCATTTCCAGAAGTTAGAAACCAAGTTCTCTTCACCGACATTCTATCAAAGCTATCTGGAAATGATAGCCGCTCAAGAACTCTCCAAATTTCTTCAAATGGAGATTCGCCTCAAATTTGAAGAAGAAGTTCTTGAATTCTACAGAAATGGAAGGGTCATGTCTATTAAATCAAAGAAGGACCCACAGAGGATGATTCAAGTCATCAAGTCGACTATTGGAAGGACCAATGTGAAGCTTTCGCAGAAGAAATTGGGAGAAAAGCTTCACCTTCCCAATTCTGGAGTTGAAATTGGGAGATTTCCAGTCAAAAATCTGGACTGGAACGCTATTGGAATTTCTGGGCAAGCTCCTTCTGGCCCAGCGAAGAAAGCAGATCTGAACAACGACTACAAGTTAGTTTTGGAACTGGTCATCGCTTGCCTCGAGTGTGGAAGTGGAGGTCATGCCGATGACATCACGCAGGAGAGAGCCTTCATCATCAACGCTCTCATTACCAAATCTAAAGTAAATTGGGCTGCACACTTCTTCAAATCCATCTCAAAACATCTGGGAAAGCACAATCAGAAGTACCTTTGTCAAGGTCTGTACATTGGACATATTTTGGAGTCTATGGGTGCTGCTTCTAAAGGAAAGAAGTATGAAAAAAGATATTGGTTATATTATCTGTCTTCAAAAGGGGAAAACAGAGCTAGGGTTAGTGCTACTATAGAGGAATGCTCTTCAGATAATGTCCCACTCATCAACTTGACGAAAACAGCCAAGAGAAAGCATGTGGTGTCTCCCTCTCCAAGTGTTGAAGCACCACAGAACCTTGCTTTGGTCAATCTTGAAGAAGTAGAAGAAGTCTCTGACCAAGGAGAACTTCAAAGGAAGAAGAAGAGGAAAGTCACCTCTCCTTCAACATCTGGAAATGTCAACTCGGATAAGTTGAAGGAGAAGGAACTTGCTGAGGAAACCTCTGCCCAAAACCGGAGTCCTCAACAACTTGAAGAAGAAGAAATTCCTCAAGTCCAAAGTCTTCCAACCCCCTCACCTCAAGCTCAAATAGATGATGATGATAACCAATTCTGGTAGCTCTACTATGATTGGAGAGCCTGGAAAGTTGGAAATTCAGCAGAGCAATTGTTGGATTGGGACCAACAACTGAAGAATGAGAAGATTATCAAGAAGTGCTTAGAAATACCAGTCAACCACAGCTGTGAACAAATTTTGGATGACCACTGGGTATGGCAAAGGAACCATGAAGACTTGCATCTGGAGTACCTGGTCGACACACCAGCTTCAGAATTTGAAGTGGATGATGAGGATCTTGCAGTCTACAAGCCAGTCTTCTCAAGAGCCACAGCAGAACAGGTGGTTCTCACATCTGAAGCACAAGCTGACTTGGAAGCAACAGCTGAGGAGTTCCAAATATTTCCGGAAACCTCACCTGCCTTTGAAACGGTTCTGACTGAAGCTGTCCAGGAGAATGCAGCTTCTCCCTTACAAGAGCAGAACCAGAAAACAGCAAAAGAAGAGTAATTTCAGCAACTAATCCAATCTCAAGTTTTAGAGACTCTCACAACTCCTTGTGAGATCTCCAATCCTACTGAAACTGAGATCCCGGAGAAGTCAGCAGAAATTCCGGAGCAATCAACTTTTCCAGAAACAAATGAAGAGGAGCAAGCCGTAGAAGTCCAAAGGAATTCTGGAGAAGCTGAGAAGGAAACTCAAATGGCAGAACTGGAAGTTTCTAAAACTCCAATAGCCACTTTTGAAGAGCAGAATGAAGCTGAAGAAAGAGACTCCCTCTCTAGGGATATATCAAATTTTATCCTTGATGAAGCAGAGGAAGAATCTGAAAGAACGCTGAGTATCAATGATGAAGAAGATGTGCAAGAAAATGCTGAATCTCTTCTTATGCAACTCTTCCAAAGAACATCATCTTCTCATCAGGTAACCAACTTTCATTTTCATAGCTCTTCCACCCCTACACTTCCGGATGAGATACCGGAAATCTGGACAAAGAAGGTCCAAGGGCTGATTGAATCAGCCCTAGCATCTCAACATGCCTCCTTTAGGCAAGAGATAGAGCAAATGGAAGTCAGGTACACCAAGCTGATAGAGAAATCTGAAGAGAAACACAGCGCAGATCTCAACGAAATAAGCAAGTCAGTGCACAAGACTCTAGAGATCATCTCTCTATTGAGTAAAACTGTGAGCAACACGATGGAGACATATGCATTTGACAGTTATCTTCAACTCAAGGATGTTGACAAGATCAAAGAACAAATAGCAAATGTCACCGTCAGCCTACAGAAACAAATGTCCCTTCTCCAAATGGACATCAGATCAGCCCTGGAAGTATCTTCATCAAATCAGGTAGTGACCAAAGACTACTTGAAGGTGATCATTGACAATCAGAAGGAAGCATTCAAACTATTCAGACTTCTTGGCGCAAAGTCTGGAAATCGCAAGATGGAAGTGATTCTTCAACAACACAGTCCATCCTTGATACCAGAACTCCCCATTGCAGTCAAAGAAGGAGAAGTCTCTTATATCCCTTCTCATCTGAACATGACTAATCTAATCCTTGAAGCACAACAAAGAAATCCGGAGAACTCAGCACAGCACCTATCCAGCTCAGGATTGGATGGAACAGAGGCTGTAGGAACAATTGCTGCTCATTTCTCAATTGATGATCAAACAGAGGAAAGACGCAACAATATAAGGCGCATCAAAGAACTGTGTGGAAACATGCAAGGTATCAGTGAGGCTGCCGGATCTTCAAAACGCAAGAGGAACTGAAGGTTCTTTTCATCAAAACAGGGGGAAAGTATGTGAAAACACTAATTTGTTTTGATGAAAACACCTTCTTGTTTAAACATTGCTTGATCAGTTTAAACATTGCTTCAATCTCTCTCTTAATTGTGCTTATTATGCTTGATTATGCCTAATTCAAGTATGATTTTGAGAATTCTTTTTCTGAAGCGCATACATTCAGGGGGAACTTAACTAGTTTTGGCTAAAAATTTGTTTTTGGAAATGAATTATTGATGAGCTCTAAGCAATGGAAGACGGATATCTCAGTTTTGGTACTAAAATTGGAAATCTCCGATTCAGGTACTTTACAAAATCTGCCTTCTTAAACTAAGCTTTAATCCTTAATTCATTTCCAACTAGCTCTAAAAGTACTGGTCCTTAAGATTTTTATAATGTACAGGACTTTGGAAAAATAGTACCACTTTTCTTTTAAAAATAAATTTCATATTTTTTTTTGGTACTACCTCGTCCTAATTAGAAATTAGAACTATAGGGAATGAAAAATGATAGTTTTATTTTGGGCCTTGAGAACCCAATAGGAATAATTTCCCTTTAGTACATAGCTTTCTTTTCTTTTTGGGCCACTCTTGTGGGCTTAGCCAAACTAAAACAGTTACGTTTCTCAAACCAAACGAAACTGACTTTCTAATTGGAACAGTTTCAACTCATTGATAACTGGCAAAAGATTCCTTTCACTTTTCAACTTCTTGGAAGTTGAAACTCCTTTACTCTCACCGTTCCAACTACTCACTTAATGGAACCCGTGAACCTCCTCCTCCCCTATTTAAATCAAGACATTCCAATCCATTTCCATCACAAACAACTCTTTCAATATGAAAGTCTTCAAGTTCACTGTCTGAGAAAAACACCAAGAAAAATATCCTCAATGGAGAAATTTTTCTTTCTCACCCTCATAGACGGCAATGGAGAAAAGCCTAGTGAGAAGAAAAGTAATTTAAAGTATATGGTGCAATTCTCGGCAGTAGAGAAAGTATATGGTACAATTCTCGTATTTTTCAGGATTATACCATACACTTTCTCTGGAACAACACTCTCTCTATTTTTCTTTTTATTTTTTACCTTGATCTCTTTCCCCTCCCTCTCTTTTTTTTAGACTTTATTTTTTTTGAGCAGTCGCCACACTCTTCTTACAAGTTTCTTTTTAAAATTTTTGTGCTGCCTCTGCTCCCTTCTCCCAAGCATTTTTCAAAATCACTTTTTTAATTTGTTTTATTCTAAAACTCTTTTTCAAAATTTCTTTAAAAAAAATTTATTTTTGCCTTCATCTTTAAAAACCTTAATTTATCTTTTTCACAATCAATTTTATTTTCCAAAAACCTTTTTCCTTGTCTTTCTGACTTTTTCCTTTCTTCCACCGCCGCCTCCTTTCTCTCCACTTTTCTGTGTTTTTTTTTCTTGTTCTTGTTTTTGCTTTTTGAGAGATGTGTTGCTCCCAAGATCTTGAATATCCACTTTGGATATTAAAGATCTATCAAATGCAACGCCAACCGCTCTGCCAAGCAGAATCTGCTGAAGCTGAAAACGGTCAATGGCGGAAGATATCACAAAATTTCAAGACAAGACTTGGTTTAGGAATTATTGTAATTTGAATTGTATTCGTTTAAGAGTTTTTGTTAACAAGCTGTATATTATGAGAAACTAAAAGAGAGTTATAAAATTAGTTCTCAGTACAGCGACCGGAACTCTTAAACACTTGTTTGTCATCATCAAAAAGGGGGAAATTGTTGGGAAAAATAGAGATTTTGATGATGATGTATTTAAAATGTAATAGGGACTTTAGGTCTCCCCCTAATATTCAATGTAATTTTCTTCTTATAAATACTGTTAAAACCGAGTCTTGAGATTTCCAATAAAATTGTGATATTTCTTTAAGCGGTTTGATGCCTGAAGACTTAATCAAATTCAGTGATTTGGAAATTGGATATCTTGATCGGAAATGTCAGAGACAAGTAAGGATTTCTCAAAGCGGTTGAAAATCCTCAAATCCGGAAGACTACATAAGAACCGGATGTCTCGCTACAACCCGCTGAAGGCTAAGTCGGAAGACTGACGCGGATTTCTTTCTCACCCGGAAGACTGAGAACGACTCCTCCAAATTTGTCAGCCAAGAATCGGATGCCTCAAGAAATACCGGAATTCTCAGAAAGCAGACAAGTGAGAAAAGACTTAGAAAATCATCTAAGTCTTGAATGAAGAAATTCTACCCGTTGGTAAGGAAAAATCAATCTCTTGATTTTCAACGGCTAGATTGAAGATAATTATGCTGATTCAAGAACGAATGACTCAAAGACAAAGTCTGGACCTCTAAAAATTGAAGAGCCTGTCCAGAATTCCTAAACAAGCACTAGAAGACAAATAGAGTAAAGTGCTACAGTCCTGAATTCTTGAACAACAGCTAGAAGACGGATTCTATGGAAAAAGGAATCCCTCCTCAAACAATTGGATATGTCCAAACACCCATTCCAACGAAGAATCTTCAAATCACAATCTTCATTCAAAATTGAAGCCAGCAAATGCAACGAATAGTCTATTGTGATTCAACGGATAGATTATCCAATCCAGCTATAAATAGCATCCTTGGAAGACTGGAGAAAACAATGATGATGAGATACAACAACAACAACAAAGAGCAATCTCTAATAACAAAGCTATCTCATTCACAGTTTGTCCAAAAAGCTTGAAAAAGAGAGATTTCTAAAACTCCTTATCCAGAAGCAAACTTCTCCTCCTTCCAAAGAGCTATAGTGTAAACACTTGAAGGTTTCCTTGCCTCAAGTACCACACCACGTTGAAGGATACAACTTTTGATCAAACTTATTGATTAAAAGGGGGTAGGTCAACTTTCTTACAAGTTGGTCTTGCAAGTCCTATTGTTCGGACCTTGCAGTTGTTGAAAAAGCGTGANACTCTAGATTAACACTCATTTTCACGTTTTCAAAAGAAACGAAAAAGTTTTAAATTTGTAACAAAGTCTATTCACCCCCCCCCTCTAGACTTTGTATCTCAGCACTTTGGGACCACCAGAACTTATTTTTATAAAATGAAAATTAAACATAAAAAATATATAAAAAGAAAATTAAGAAATTAGAGTAGCAATTTATCACCATTGCATTTTTTGGATATGCTGTAGTGAGATAAACAGGTTGAGCCACATGGCAGTAGCCCATTAAACGTGGAACTGTTGGAATTATATCTCTGTGATTTACAACCCTCCTGCTATCTTTGACTTTCTGCAACAAAGAAGCCTAGTATTAAGACCCCACAAGGCACAAGCAATTTGTTAGAATAATAGACCAACGCTAGAGGGGGGGTGAATAGCGTTTGATCAAAAAATCGCAGGAATAAAAATGAATAAACGAGAAGTAAAAAGAAGAGTAAGAGGCACACCAATTTTACCCTGGTTCACCACCACTTGTGGCTAATCCAGCCTCCCAAGAGACTCTCTCGAGCTACACTACTATCTCGTTAAGCTTAACGGTGCTTAACAAACCCGTACAACTTGAGAGTTCGAGTCACACGAACCTCAACAAACCTTCGAAGGAAACAACCCTTCCTTCGAACAACAAGAGAAATACTTTCTCTTGTCAAGTGTCTAAGAACTCTAAAAACTCTCAAGAACAATACTCTCTTTTAGAGTGGATAATGAGTAACTAAGAACGCTCAAGAACGCAACACAAGCTTCACAAAAATGGCTCTCAAAAAGCTATGAAAAAAGTGATGAATGATTTGCAATGAAAGAGTAGGAGTTGTGAAGTAATGTAATATGTAAAATAGACCCAAACACCCCATTTTATAGTGGAAAAATAGGCTCCAACGGATCAAAACATTTAAGGGGTGATTTGCACAATTTGTGGGATTTGATTAAATTTGGATCTGCTGAAATTCACCCGGACAGCGCTGTCCTAGGCTTGGACATCGTTGTTCTAGGCTTGCTTTTTGAAAATTGGGAAGCAACGGTCATGCCAACAGCGATGTCCAATACTCCTACATCGCTGTTTTGGCTGTTGACTTCCAAACAAGGAAAGTTTTAGCCTTAAATTCCTTCCAACGGTCAGGTCCCTACATCGATGTTCAATACTTGAACATCGCTGTTTAGGTCTGACTTTGAAGGTGGAGTTTCTGGCCTGACAGCGCTGTTGCTGGGTCAACATCGCTGTCCAAAAACTTTCTGCCAATGTACTATATTTTTAGCTTAGGTTGGACAGCGTTGTAGGGAAGGCCACATCGCTGTTCCAGATGTTTCTAGAAACCCAACCTTGGCTCAACAACGATGTCTAATATCCAACATCGCTGTTGGAAGACTTAACGTAAAACCATGGTTTTCAGCTACCCAAGCCAGATAGCACTGTTGGTTACACCAACATCACTGTTGGGCTACTTTAGCCAGACCAATGGTTGGTTTAGTCACGCCGTTAGCCGATGTCAAAAACGTAAGTTCTCCAAAATAAAAACCAAGTATTGAAAACATTTGTTTATTGCATTTTGCTAAGAAATCAAGTAAAACATATTAAAAACCACGTCATTTAGTTGAAAACCAAGGCTAGCCAAGTTTGTGTTGTTTTGCATCATTTTCACTAAACGACCAAAAACGGAGGGTGGTTTTTGAAGCGTTTTTGTTGGAGAACTGTTTTTGATTTGGGCGAACTCCAAGTGTTTTTAGGCATGTTTAAAACTTAAGAAAAATATTTTTGAATATGAAAAAGATATTTTGATGAGAGGAGCCTAGAGAGCCAAGATTTGAAAGTTTGTGCCGGCTTGATCACATTAAGACCGACTCAATACAATTCTAATTCTTCGTTCTTGATTCTTGGTTCTTTGTTCTCAAAACATCATGCCATGTTCCTTCGCCTTGGTTTTGCTCACTTTAGCCTTGTTATGTCACGGCGGTTTGGCATTATCAAAACCTGTCATAAAACGAACACAGTTTAGTACGACGTAGGCGTAAACCCGTGTCCCAACAATTTCCCCCGTTTTGATAATGGCAAACAAGACGGGGATATGCATACTAAGGGATATTTGATTTTCAAAAGGTTGTGAAAAAGTTCCCCCTTAATTTGTGCTTAAAAAAATTTAGTCGGATTAAAATCAAACGGTCTCGTTTATAGAGGCGTTCCCCCTTAGTATATGCATAGCCCTTTTCTTCCCCCTTTTGACATTAACAAAAAGATAAAAGACACTTTCATTTATTAAAAGGAAATAGCGGAGTACAACGGAAGCAAAAAAACAAGATAATTAAAGGAAAAGAGATAGAAATTCTAGGGGTGTCCTAGTTTTCGTCTTCGGTTTCTTCCTCGTCGTCGTTGACGTCCATCTCATCACCATCAATGGCATCGTCGAACTTATCCTCGTCCTGGGAGCTTGATTGGGAGTAGGAGCCATCCTCTTCGTCTTCATCACGGTACACTTCCCCGAGGAATGTGCCATGGAGTGGTGGAGGGACATAGTTGATGCCTTGGAAGTACGCGTTCATGGCGTACCCTTGGCATTGAACAGCCACGTCGAGCCGTTCAAGGTATCCCTCCATCCCGTCAACTTTGAGGTGGAGCCGGTTGAGAGAGTCGGCAATGGAGGCGAGGTTGGCCCGGGCCTGGGGTTCGGCTGGACCAGCGGCAGGGGCAGTGCGGCGTGGCGTGGCGCGGCAGTGGCAGTCGCGGCGTTGTCCGACCGCTTGGTGAAGGTTTGGTTTCTGATTGTCCAAAGCTTCGTGGCCTTCATGAGCGGGCCAACGGTGGTGGTTACCTTGAACCGTTCAAGGATGTCCATCACCACGAATGGGTACGGGAGGAGGTGATCGTGGTCGGTGGACGCGGCGATCGTCATGTTGATCATGACAAACTTCGCCCAATTGATTGGGGCCGAGTGCATGATCGCATGGATGAGCTTGAGGTCCTCACCGGACATGATTGTGTGGCCATGCTTCCGGGGTTTGATGATCCGGGACACGATGTAGAGGACAAGACGGCCTTCGGGGTTTCCGGAGTGGATGGTGGGGCAGCCCGAGGCATGGCGGATGAGCTCGGTGATGCCAAGCTCGTTGAGGATAAGGCCCTCGTTGTTGAGCACCCAGTCCTCTCCGCCATAGTGGGAGACGTCTTCGCCTTGGAAGGGGAGGCCGGCGATGCGCCCAAGCTGCTCCACGGTGAGCTCAATTGGCGTAGACTTGATGAGGCTGTAGATGACGTCGTCCTCACGCCTGAGGTTGGAGTAGAAGGCCCGGATCAGCGCCGGGTTGATCTCCTTTCGCGCCCGGGAGACGAACGGCCAAAGGCCGGGTTGATGAAGCTGCGCGTCTAGGTCGTCGTAGCCCTGCAACTCCGGGTAGCGCTCTGGGATGATTCGTGGGGGAGCCACAACCCGTTTAGAGAAAAAGGTGAGAAAGCGGGTGCGCTCCTCCTCAGAATCGAACCAGAGGTACGACCCATCGCCGTAGTAGAGACGTTCCTCGGAGGATGTCGTAGGCACCCGGGATTTGGACTTTGATCTCCCGGAGGTGGCAGCCCTGCTCTTGTCTTTGCCCATGATGAAGATTTCTCAAAAGAAGGTTAGAGAAGATAAAAATATGCAAGGGGATGAAGAGATTTGTGTTTGTGAGTGTAAAAGTGAGAAGAGGAGGTCCAAATATATAGGGAGAGGGGTATCCAACGTTCAAAAGTTTTGAAAAAATAATTGTTGGAGCTTTTAATGAAGTTGGCAATGGTATTTTTTTTTGAAAAATTTGACCAGAACAGCAATGTTCTACAGGGGACATCGCTGTTGGGACAGCGCTGTTGTACCCTTGTACAGCGCTGTTCTGCGTCAAGTTTAAAAAACAGGAGTAAATTGGACAGCGATGTTGGATACCCTACAGCGATGTTCCAAAAGTATCTGGAATTGTGTAAGGGTTTGAACCCATTAGAACAGCGCTGTTGGGGTTTTCTACATCGCTGTTTTACGATTAAAAAAAATTTGTAAAAATGGACAGCGCTGTTGCAGTGGTGGACAGCGCTGTTGGAAAAGTTTATGGTTTTGTTTGAAAACAAGGTGTTTTTGAAAACAGCTATGTTGAAAAAGGGACAGCGAAGTTCAAAAAGTTTCTGGAAAACAAAGGTAAAAGGGACTCCCTGTAACAGCGTTGTTGGCTGGTTGTACAGTGCTATTGGCAAACTTTCTAGTTGACGGTATTTCTCTCAACAGCGCTGTTAGGTCTCCTGGACAGCGCTGTTTGCATGGTTCCCCCTGATTTCATGAACGAGGTACCTGCAAAAAAAGAAAAAGTCCTCCGATGCTCAAGTTAGTAAACGTTTAACGAGTTTAGATGCACAACTTAGATCATCGTGGAGTCAAGGATTCCGAGTTCACTTCAAATGCGGAAGAATGACTCTTTCTCTAAAGGTTTTCTGAAAATGTTGGCTAATTGGTTATGTGTTTAAAAAAACTCAATTTCGACATCACCTTTGAGAACATGATCTCTAATGAAATGATGCCTAATGTCAATGTGTTTCGTCCTTGAGTGAAGAACGGGGTTCTTCGTCAAGCTTATGGCGCTAGTATTATCACAACGAAGAGGGACGTGATTGATACTAAGGCCATAGTCCACAAGTTGTTGCTTCATCCAAAGGATTTGAGCACAACAACTACCGGCGGCTACATATTCCGCTTCGGTTGTGGATAACGCAACACTGACTTGTTTCTTACTAAACCATGAGACTACAGAGCTAACAAGTAAGTGGCAAGTCCCACTCGTGTTAGAATAATAGACCAACGCTAGAGGGGGGTGAATAGCGTTTGATCGTAGAAATCGTAGGAATTAAAAAATTAAAAGAGAAGTAAAGAGAATGAGTAAGATGCACACCGAATTTTACCCTGGTTCACCACAACTTGTGGCTAATCCAGCCTCCCGAGAGACTCTCTCGAGCTACACTACTATCTCGTTAAGCTTAACGGTGCTTAACAAACCCTTACAACTTGAGAGTTCGAGTCACACGAACCTCAACGAATCCTTCAAAGGAAAAAACCCTTCCTTTGAATCAACCGAGAGAAATACTTTCTCTCAATGTGTCTAAGAACACAAATACACTCAAGAACGAGACTCTCTTATAGAGTAGATAATGAGTAAAATAAGTACGCTCAAGAACTGTTAGAATAAGTGCCCTTCACTAGAGGGGGGGGGTGAATAGTGAGGCACGAGAATGTTTATAAATTTTCGCGGAGTAAAAATCGCAGGGATAAAGTAAAGAGCGGAATAAAAAGGAGTAAAGGGAGCACACCAAGATTTATACTGGTTCACCACAACGTGTGGCTAGTCCAGTCTCCCGAGAGACTCTCTCGAGCTACACTACTTCCGTTAAGCTTACGGGTGCTTAACAAACCGTTACAACCTGAGAACTCGAGTCCCACGAGCCTCAACAACACTTGCTCGGAAATACCGCACTCCAAGACTTCAACCCGAAGGAAAATACCTTTCCTTCGTACAACCAAGGGAAACAAGCTTCCCTTAACGTGTATACAACACTAAACACTCAAGAACAAGACTCTCTTTAAGAGTAGATGATGAGTAAACTAAGTACGCTCAAGAACAACTCAAACTTCACACAATTTGGCTCTAGAAAGCTATGGAAAATGATGT